GAGACACAGATTGAGTAAAGTTTTTACACTTAGGATTGAGAAACGAGCGACGATAAGAAAGGCGAGTAATGTATTTTGATAAGTGAGAAACTTAGATATTCGAACCTTCCTGGAGTCTGCTCACGGAATTTACTTTTTTTATTAGCTCGTAGATTAACATACGAAAGATTAACAAATTTATGAGAAAATAGATATTAATTTTATTGTCGCTGAAATATCAATCTGATAAAATTCTATCTATCTGTTTATATTAATTTGAATTAATATATTTTTTTATTGCAAGTTTTCTTACTGTTGCTCGATGGTAGTGTATAATTACGTAAACTTTTTTTTTATTCATGCTTACAACGAGTTCGTCGAGTAAGACCATATACTGTCGGCATTTGAACCGTGATTGTTGTAAACGATGATTCGCATTCGAGGTACGTCCGGCTCAAGGTATACACCCGGCGTCCGTGCAACGGGTGCATCACTCGCCCTGGCGTCGAAAAAGCAGGAAAAGTCGTAGAAAAAATTCGGTTGCCCCTACATGTTTCGACGGCCTCGGAGCTGCCCCGAGGCATACGAAAAAAGGCCGTGAAGGCGCGGCGTCGAATACTAATTCTAGGGGCCGTTTTGCGCGGACTAGCAGAGAGACAAAAGACGTGACGACGATGGCAGGGAGAACGCGACGCGACGCGAGTTAAGAAAGCGGAGGCGAATGAACGTTGAAGAGAAGAGGAGAGAAGAAAGACCGTGGGGCTGCGAATTTGCATGAAAATACGTGAATTCTCGGTGGCGATGATTTCTCCGAGCATTTCCGAGCGCGCTACCGAAATTCCGGCGTCGGTTTGCCGCGGTAGTCGAGCGACGCCGACGCGACAAAAGGGTCGCGACGCACTGCGCTCTCTCCGAGCACACATGTATGCAATATGTATAATAAACGCGGGAGTGCGTTTTTTAACGAGTACGCTCCCGCGAGTCACCACGGTGGATTTATTATGCGCGCACTCCCAAGTGGGCACGTGTGCGTGACCGGTTTACCTCTTTGACGTAGCGTTAATGGCGCTACCAGTAACACGCATCTTTCTCGTTCTGTCGCGACACTTTCACGATTGCAATGTAGAATAAAACTATATTATTGATTACACATCCGCGATCAGAGAAGCTGGCTGCAATAATAATGTCAGATGACAGCTGATCAGCTGATCAGATTTACGCTGATATTGCGGCAGATGTGATTTTGTGAAAACATGACTTTTTATTTTCTTAGCTATTATTTTGAAAAATTGTATCTTTCGCGATGGAAGATATATTTTGCATGTGAGAATTTTGTATAAAATAATATAAAAATCCATTCAAGGCAATAACAATCATAAATAAGTTTTTGAAAATACATCAAGTACTGTTAAATATACAATAATATAAATCTATGTGCAAAATCTTTTTTTAATATCTTCTGTTAAAATTATATATATTTTAAAAATGTTGGACATTTTTCTTTCAAAGCGGTATTTTGCGGCTTATGCTTGTTTTTGCTCAGTTTCCCAGTTAGGACTTGGCTTAAAACTTGCTCATGATGTGAATGATAATAGCGAGATTCAGAGAACGAAGGCGAAAATCTTGCGTCTGTATATAGTCATGTCTGATAAGCACTTTATGGGAGTGTGTGTTAAACGAGAAACGTGGGAATTCGCGTTTCGCTTATATTTTGTGTGCCGCTCACGTTATCTGTCTGTTACAACGCTTTGAAGTTGCATCATCCCAGTGTAGAAAATGAAAAGAATCAGACTTTTGGAAAAAAAAAAAAATTTCGTCTTTTAATATTCATAATATGCATAACATTCGCAGATTAGACATTTGATTAAAAATGAAATATTTAATATAATTTGCAAGACATTCTACAAGGAGATTAACTATTTTTTATGGACATTGATTCTCTCTTTAAAATAATCTTTCTCTATACATAAGAAGGGATTGATCGTGAGTGAATAAAATAATCAATACTGGATAAGGTATATTCATTATTAAATATCGGAAATATCCAAACGTGTGCAAACGTAGTATTAAATTGTCGAAATTGTACCGGGATTATTCGTAGATTTACACTTCTCGTCAATATTCTTTATTGGCAGTTCGTATCGTCTTAATAATAAGAGCGCAATAAAAGCCACGCGATGTAGATTGAAGGGAGGATGAACGTGACGCACGCGAAACCGGTAAAAAGGATCAGACGGGATTTCCACTTGGCATCGAAGGGGATGCGACTCGGCTCGAACGGCCGATATTATACCCCGGGGCGGTAATTCGTATCGAGTTTTTCGTGCTGCCCGGGAACTCGATCGGAAACGCGATCAGGAGATGGCGAAAGTAATCTTCGGCCGCGTCAAACACGATTCTATGGTAAACAATCTGAGAGATACTATATTTGTGAGAGAGTTCTCTAACAATGAGTTTTTTCCCGAATTTTATTTTTGCTCTTCTCGAGTCTTATTCTGGTAACATTTTTTACATTTTATTAATCAATAAATTGTTTAAGGAGAAACTGGACAGATCAGCTACGTCAAAAATTAAAAAATCTGATACATTTCGAGATTCATGAATTTGACATTGTGTACAAGGCACTTTTAGTCGTTTGAAATATAAAATGAATAATTAATTTGTGAGTTAAAGTAAAGATTTGTCCAGTAGAATATGATTTAATCTCAAAATTGTAAATATTATTTTATATGGAACTAATATTTTTATATCTGTACTGTTTTTAACTGTAAGACACAAAAATTCATAAAAATAAAAATTTTAATTATATAGGGCAAATCTATCAATATTTGACGTAGCTGATCCGTCCAGTTTTTCCTTAAATAGCTATTCATTGACATTTGAAAATTCATATCCGACTATATAACATCCGGTTATAATATCTGACTCATAAATAACTATTATTGATCTAATAGCAGTGAGAGGAAGTTTTTCAATCTACAGATTTTATTTTTACAATACTTAAATTTGTAAAGTACAATTCCTTTTTTACACCATTCTCGGATCAATAACAATTTACGAGTTAGATATTCTAACCGGATGTTATAATTATATTCTTAAAGATGCTAATAAATACAAGTTAAAAAAAAAACAAGTAATTTATTAATTTATAAATTGTTGTGATAATTACAGAGTAATTAATTTTGAAAGTACCGGAGAAAGGGTCATGTGTTGTCAGAATCACACACGGATTTATTTAACAAAATAATAATGGATCTGATGGTTTTGTGTTTTTTACATATTCCATATCTCTTTTTCTTCTTTCTCTCTCGAAATTCTAAATATAATTCCGTGTTATCTGAAATGCGTAAAATTCAAGAAAGCCTAATTGAGAGACCTCATTATGGAAGAGTATCACGATTTATTTGATTCTTATTCCAATGGAATATCTTGTTCTCGATTATGTATGCAGTGAAAGCCACGGATCCGGCAAATAAATGAAAAAATAAACCGAAACGGCAAAAAATATCTAACAATATGTATTCAAAGTGACACACTGCGTCTTGCGAAGCGTTATTATCTCGTCGTTGAAAAGCCAAAGCGCATACAAGGTGGACGACAATATATCGGACGACAGTCGACGCGAGTGCGAAGCACAAGCGGGGGCATTCCCCGACCGACAAATGGCAATTTAACACCGTCTCGGTCGATATTCGAGCGACCCTTTGACCGTCGACGCTAATGCACGGCCTGCCCTTTATTTCCTGCTGTCACACCGGCGCGGCGATACGCGGCCCCTCACCCCTCATATCGTCGCGCTCGCTCGCTGAAGCACACTTTCGAGCACCCTCCGACCGCCCACGCGAGACGTACACACGAAAGGGAGGAACCACGTCCCCTGCCTCCGCTCGAAGGATTTAATTACGAATTAATTGTGATGTACCGCCGCCGCGGCTAATTCCGCCCGGTAATTCCGCCGGTAATTCGAGGAACGTCCAGGCCAAGCCGGCCGCTCTTTTTTCCTCCCTTCTAGCGTGACTCTCTCTTCCGTGACGCGAAATTCCGTTACAAGAGAAAAATTCGCGAAACTTGATTCGCGCGCCGAAGCACGCGCGTTTTTTTTTCGATCTCGATACGATCGGGTCAAAGAAGTACGATGGCTGCGAGTTTTTTTCTCGAATTACGATGGGAGCGCGAAATTATTCGCGCAAAGTATTTATCGCATAAAATACTACGAATTCTGTTATTGATAAGATCAGTGTGCATACACAAAAGTGGATTATCTCAATGGCATTAATAAATTATCGAATGCAAAAATTTGAGTGATAAGCCACCGAGAGATTTTAGATAGCTCGTGACGTACGTAATGAGGGTAGACTGGGAGATAGGGATGCTTCTTATCATTGTGATTTCACGCGAAGAGTTAGAATAATTTGTGCATACAGTCCGTGTGCTACGACTCGTAAATATTCATGATTTGCATGCAACGCTGATTTTAAATAAACTGTAAATGTCTGTGAAGGTGTGTGCAACATCGAGATTGAAATCTCGCTAATCTGTTCGAATCTGATTGCTATCTGCATGCGTGTTAATGGGCTTTCCTCATTAATCATTTTAATTAACGAAGATTAGATATGGATGGGTTATCGCCGTGATTTGCATTTGTATATTACGGCTACACAATTCTCCTATAATGAATGTTTATTGCTGATATATGCACGGAATAAAATCGTCACTCGTATCCTGCTAGATTTTTTTTCTGCCAGGTCAACGATAAGACCCGGAAATCTCTCTTTTATGTCAAAAATAAAACGAGAATTTTGTCAAGATGAATATCTATCTTCCTGCTCTTAATTGCCGTGAAAGACATTTGTCTTCCTTACGAGACAGTCTCGTTTCAAGGCAACGACCGAGACGCATCTAATCGTTGCGAATCATCCAGCGAGATAATTCGATCGCGTGGCAACTGATTAATTACGATACGCGATGTAACAGTAAAATACACACTGTTAGTTCTACATCTCGTTATCTCGGATTCTCACCTGACAGCCGATGCCGATTAGATTAAACAACGTTGGCGGCCAGACTCCTCGGATGCGCGATTCTCGAGCAATATTTTCCTTTCTGAACGAACTGTCCACTGATAACGTATCGACGTAGCCTTCAGTTATCACGCAACGATTAATTCTCTCACTATTCAGTTCACTAATGTCACGTTGATGCGTCGAGCAATCGTACGGATAATCTCCCTTTTGTCGTCTTTTCTCTCTATCTCTCTTTTTCTCGATTTCTCGATCTTCGTTTTATCGTGTTTGTCGCAGTCGGTGACGTCCTCCACGATGTCGTCGATATCACGGTCCGAGTGACACCGATGCGATTTTCCTCTCAACTGAATCCAAGCCCCGGGCTGTCACCTTCGATTCGTCTTAGCCGCTTCTTCGCGACAAATCGCGCTCCCGGCGTCTTCGGATCATGTGCCACTGCATCATATAGCTTCGACGAGCAGCTGCCCACGCGACCAGATTTATCTCCGTTCGAAGTCCGGAGCGCGATAAAAAAAAAAAAAAATAGTCAAGAATATCGGAGCAATCGGTTTATCTTCGCTTCGAGTTTATGTCGGAGCATGAAAGTCCAACGATAGTAACTCTCGTCGTTTCTACGAGCCGATTATCTCGCGAGATTTATCTCGCAGTCGCAGGAAATGAGACGGACCATTCGCGCGGTGATTTCAAGGAGTCTCGCGGTTCACGCGAGATTTTTTCGCGCACGCACACGCCTTCCCACGTGCCGGTTGACAGTTTCGTAGATGCGTGACAAATGCACGCGGCGCACGGCGACGCTCGGCTTTTATCGGCGCTCCTCGCGCGTCAGCTGCGCGCGTCCGCGTGTGCCGTCGCACTTTCCGAGCTCTTCTCCCCCGTTTGACGTCGACGTTGCGTCGATTCGCGTCCCCTGCACACGTCGCCGCGAATTTTTCACCGATTCGGCGCGTTCGATCGCAAGCGCGTGCGTGCCGCCACTCGCGATCGTCCGACAACGCGACGCGATCTACTGGAGGGGTATCGCAAATTGATATGCCGTCCGCGATTAAGTCCTTGTCGTCTGCATCGACGGCGCCGATGGATCAGGGCAATTATGTAAAATTATGACTTGCGATTCGCAGACCGGAGATACGATGAATGTAAATGTAAAAGAAGTCAATTTAAAATCACGATACAAAAGCGTACATCTTTGAGAAGCGATTTAAGAATATTGAAAATGACAAGAGAGAGAGGTAAAAATTGATTCACGTTGTTTTGTCGCTTGTCTAACGAGGAGGAGATTGGGGTGGGGGGGGTGGGGGACAACACTTCTACAAGTTTTTTAAAAACATAATTATGATAATTATTAATAATTCAATTGCATGATGATGGATAAAGGAATTTAATAAAGATTGCGTTCAATAAAAAGACAACAATCTTGTATATCATATCTGACGCTGGCGGTGCAAACGAACTCTTGTCTTGCCTTGAAGGACTGATCGACCAGACGTCCTCGCAAAAACGAAAGCCTATCGTAATTAAGATATTAATAACTCTCAAGCGCAGCTGTTATACGCGTCGTATAATCGAGAAGTGGTCTACGGAGCGCCGAATGAAACATACGACATTCCGAACCGATGACTTTGAATCGAAAGGACTTAAATTAAAAAATAAATCGAGACATTAAAAATTTTTATCGAAGCAAAATCATCTCATTAAATAAATTAAATGATCCAGTAGAGTAGGCGAAACACGAAAAAATCGCGTCAAGTTGAATTATAGCTTTGACAATCATTTTGCGGTCGCGTTCGAATATATCATAATTTTAATTACAGATTACAAATATAATCAAGGAGGAGCTTATCGTCAAGATCTAGATAAAAGATATACATAACGTCACCATCATGTCAACGTAATATCAAATATTTTTATATATGTCTCAAATGGAGCAACATACACTGAGCATTACAGAATTGGACCATCATTGAAATTTAAAATTCATGTAATAATGTGTGACGTTACGTCGACGTGACGATGATGTTATGTGAGCAACGCGTTTTACCGGTTGCATACCGCAACGGCGAGCTATATCTTTTTTAAAGCGCGAAAAGACTCGGATCCTACATTACTCCGGTGGATGTAATGGCGCTCGTAATTCTCGGCGATAACATTCGGAATGATGATCGCAGTGACCGAATGACGCCTCTCGGAACCGATACTACGCGAGTTACGATGCTCATAAGGGACACTTACGTTAGCCTTACTCTCGTAGCAATATCAACGAGTGGTTGGTTTGCTGGAACTGTCTTAGCAGGCAGCGAAAGCTGAAAAAATTCATCTGGCGTGTGAAGTTTATCTAAATCGGATTATTTAAAAGCTTTAATCGTTCGTGTCTTTTTCGCAAAAATTCGTAGTTATAATACAATAGATTAACCTGTAAAGTCACAATATTACCATCGGATTTTTGAAGCTTATATGATTGTGAAAAATTTACGAATAATTTTGCCTATCTTAGTCTCATCACGATTTCTAGAACTTTAAGATTCGCACATAAAAGCGATTGCTTTATACTTTTCGAAAGACAAACACAAATGTTGAGAATCCCAAATTTTTACTTATTGGATTTCTAATAGTCAACGCAAATAAAAAAGTCGTACAAAAAAAGCATTTTTATTTCGAGCTAATAACAATTTAGATTTTTTTTATTATTTCAGCGAAAACGAACGAAGAGATTGAAATGCATTAATTACAGCCATCTCTTCCTCGCCGAAGGCGAGGTCAAAAGAACGCTCGTAAAATCAATGAACTCCGTTCCATCGCGACGCCCTCCTCATCGCCTTAACACGTCGGGACGCTCCTTTATCGTGTAGATGCTTTTTCTTCGTTCGCGCACAAGGGAAACCGTACGCGTCGCGACCGTATGCGTCTCCCCGATGTGTTTTCGTCGTCCTCCATCGGTTCTCTCCGTTTCTCTCGCTGCCGAAAGAGGGAGAGAGTCCCTCGAAGAAAGAGAAAAGGAGCAGGAGAACGAGAAGCTCGAAGGTAATCAAAGGGGTGGGCGCGCACGTTCGCGAGTGCTTGCGTCCCTTCGCCTGCCTCTCGAGGTACACACGCACGGGAGTGAGCGTTGCCGAACAATCGTTTCGGTGGCTTTGAAGTTTTTCACTCCCGCTCTCTTCCCCCGTGTCGGCCTTTTCGAATGCGTTGCGTTTGCAGTGAGAAAGAGCGACGACCGGCGACGCCGATAACAACAAGAGAGACAGGTCCTCATATACGCACCCATATTCGACCCCCTTAACCCTTCCGTATCCTTATCCCCCTGTCCCTCCCTCGAGGGATACAGCGATAATGTTGTCGAACGTGCCTCCGACTGATAAAACGGGGTCCAGATGAGGATGGCACGCTGAAGAGGCTAATTACAGTGTTTTTTCTCTTGGAGATTCGCACGATGGTCATCGTGGCTCGATGGTACCTGCTTTGATTTATCCCCTTGTGCGCGCAGCATTGCGCGCTAAAAGGAATGAGGGAGAGGAAGGGAGAGGGAGGAAGAGCAAGTCGAGGGTGATGAAGCTTTGTGGCGACAATATGCATGCACTCGTTCTTCTTCAACATTTTTCATATTGCAGATCTAATCAGTCGAAAAGAAGCTCTTTCCGTTCGTCTCTATCTATCTTTTGCGGATTCTCCCGTTCTCGAGGACATTCCGCTGACTGATTGTTCTTTTCCTTTCTCTCTTTCTCTCTCTCTCATTCTTTTCCTGTTCTAGATTCTCGATTTCCACTGTTTCTTTTCTTTTGTCTTCTCAGGTTGAAAGAAAAATTCGCTTCCAATGCCACGTATGCAGAAAAGTTGGCAAAAGTGCCCACTTATTGTGGCACTTCTCCTCTAGTGGCAGTCGAGTGTAGCTTTGACGACAATGAGGTAATTAGTTCATATTATACTTTGTGACATCGGCCGGCCAAGAGCAAAAGAGGCTCCTTTTTTCTGTCTCTTCTACCTCATATTCCTCACCCTCTCGCCCATGTTTTCTCTCTCTCTCTCTCTCTCTCTCTCTCTCTCATTCGAATCCTATTACAAATTTGACCTTGCGCTCTTCATCTGCTCGACGATAGCTCCCACGTGCGTGTACATCGAACGCAATCCACTCCTCCTCTCTTCCCTTTTCCATCAGCTACTCATCGTTTGCACGCTAATTTTCGTACAGATGGATGAAGGAGCAAAATGGGAAGCAACGATCGCTCGGCCGAAAAGTCTTTGTGACGAATGACGGTCGAGTGCGCGGCATAAAGTACATTCGCTCGCGTACGCAAGGACAAAGGAAAGAAGAAAAAAAAAAAGAAAAAAAAATCCACGATGAGACCCTAATGAGTGTGCTTGTTTTTTCATGAATTCGTAATTCTCGAGCGCGCGTATCGCAGGCTCGATGGGAGATGGTTGGTTTCTCGATCTCATCGAGGCCACCACGAGAGGAGGAACCCGATCTCAAAGACGATGCGCGCAACTCTCGTTCGCACTCCGATGAGCGCGCAGAAATAATTTTGTTTTTTACCGATGCGGAATGTTCTCGTTAACGTCGAAGCGGAGTAGTCGAAGCCGATAGCTGGCGGGTGAGCGACGGGGAAGAATCCTCAAAGACGTCACGCGGCCTAATTTTCCGACAGAGGGAGCATTCTTGCTTTGATGCGTCGGGACTCTAAGTTTCTCCAAAGCTTTCTCTCCCTCTCTCCTCGCCATTCCCGTCCCTCGTTATGTTTGCCTGACGAATTTTTTTGCAAAGAAAAGGCTGCGACAGGAGAGATCGCGTTGATGAGATGCGATAGTAGTTTCCCCGATGTTAATCATATTATAACATCAAGCGGAGCCACTCGTGACAAGGAAAACGGTTTTGTGGCTTTGTATTCTCGTCCACGTAACATACGAGTTCGTTTACTTACGCTACCACGCTTGATTAGAGGGGGGAAAAATTGAAAAAACACTAAGATGAAAAAAATGGGTCGACAGCAATGACGACTTGAAACGAATCAAAGTCGCTCGAAAGGGGGAAAATATGTTGTCGATGTTTTTATACGCTTGTCAAGCGTCAAAGAGACGCCACGGTCTCTCATGATTTTTCTTGACGGTTCTGGGGAGATATAAGCATAGATAAAAAGCCTGTCTGAGTGAAAACAACTGTAGATAACGTTATAATGATTCTCCGAGGAGACCATGCAATTGTTCGTCCATCGAAGCTGTATTACAACTTGTTTGTGCCAAAGTCCTTTGTGTGGAATTCATGAAATTGCGTTTCATGGATCTCGGTATCCATAAACGAATTTATCTCTTTAGTAACCTTAGTCTCAGGCTAGCGGGACGCACACAGTACACTCCGACGTATATGATAGAAATGTATAGTGACGCGTTCTCTAGGGTGAGTACGAGCGCGTTTATATAGACCCGGGTTTTACATAACACGTAAGCAGCTCGGCTGCTGGTTCCCTTTTGCTCGATGTCGTTTCCACGCTTCTCTCGTACGCGCGCCGTCGTCGTCACGTCGATGAATTCTTTGATATCCGTGCTGTAATTAGTTGGTAACAGGCAGTGCGACCGCGCCCGCCGACGTCATCACGGTGTAAATAGCAGCAGCTACCTACCATCGGTGGCGGCAAGACAAGGGCTTGACGGCTCAGCGAAGAAGGGTAGCGAAAATGTTTTAGTGGCGATCAAAGTAGCCTGTGCTTGTGCCGCGAGGGCTTTGCCGCATCGAGAAAATGC